GGGTGATTGCTGTGGCAAAAAGATCGATAGAAATAGCTGAGAGACGTGCGAAACAAAGGACCCGCATGGTGTGGTGGTGAACGCGTTACTCCCCGGAAAGGATAATAGCGCGTTCGTTCCCCACCATAGACACCTGCGGTCCAGAGTTTTGCAAATATCTCAGCAACGTTGTGGTTGTATTTCGCTTAGTAACCTGCCATGAAAATTATAGAAGGCAGAAAACAAAACGTTAAACATAGTCGTTGCACTTTTTTTTTGTTGCTAGGTATGTAAACTAGATTTGAACAGTCTGCCTCTTTCACCACATCCTAAAAGCGGGTGACTCAACAGTTTTCCAAGTATGTCTCTTGACTTAGCTCGCTATTCGAGGAATAGTATGTGTAAACAGCGTCACTACTTTAATAATATCGCAATGGTGATAGCCCAAATCTTCCCACCGTAAGGCGGAGACCGATGGATGTAATAAACTCTTCGGCGGTTGTGGATTTTTCCTTTTGCTCTATTTGCAGGCAATATGTTGAATATAGTTCTAATGTAGAATGACCAGAAACTTACGTTATAAAGCCGACTACTAAAGGACGAGGACAATATGGTTGGGTGACGGACTAGTTTTTTTTCATCATACGCAATAGTTGGAAATTTCAAAAAAAAAAAAAGAAAAACATGGGGCAGTATTTAGGATGTCTTAGAAAGATACATTTAAAGCAATGCTCTACGTATTTAACAGTTATCGATTTTCATGACTTATCCTTCTCTTATCCACATCTGTTGGTCCTTCCCCAATATTCTTCAGATTGTTCGTTGACGAGTAGTGCACAAGATTCTATCGGTTTACCCTGGATGAGCAATCTGTGGGAAATGATACTTACGTGCCTTCCGGTGTATATCTGTATGTATATTTCCTATCCTTAAAAGCAGTTTTGGTACCAGATTTCCGATCCCAGTTAGCACGAACAACTACGTGTTTATTGCGAAGCACATCAAAATACTGCACTATTTGCGTCAGCCAAAAAAGGTAATTTTTATTATTTGTAAGTTTCACAGTAATGAAATGCGCAATTTTTTTTACACTATCCTTATGTTTAATATTCGGGAAGTGTTTAGGAGCTTCCTTTCGCTGTGAGTAGTGAACTTATTGGTATTCCCGAAGAATCTGTACTTTATCTTACATCACAAAGATTTATCTTTTTTGTGGAAAAAAAAATGCGGAAAACACTTCCTTAAGAAGATCTTATCTTTGAATTTATTCGTCTAGCACCCAGTTATTGAGGTTTTTACCCTTCTGGTATCTTCCGAATGACGAGCGATTTTTATTGTTTTTTAAACGCCCTTCCCGTAGTTGTTTTTGTAGGGACTCTTAATGTGGGGTTGTGAATACCGGCTTGAGATGTCCATCATCAATTGCTGATATAGGCTCGCTACCTTTGTTCTTTGGTCTTCTTTTTCTTCACATGTCCAGGATGACACGTTACGAACCATCTATGCGTTGTGAGTTCGGGAAATCTTGCATGGTCTATGCACTGATGACTTTCGGGTAATTACCGTAATTTTATTTGTTAAGCAAGAAATGACCTTTAGAACGGAGTGCAGTAGTAATGTAAGTGACTAATATTTGTTAGAGAATGTAAATTTCGCAACGGAAAATCTGCTATTATTTTTACATCGTTTTGAAGGTTAGGAGAATGGCTTGAACTGCTTCTTTAACAGTGATTGAAAACGGTGTTGTTATTGGTATATTTATGTTGTAGGGATTCTAATTTGTTCCGGAAATCGGCGCGAGCTTTTTTTTTAGCCTTCCACTGCTATAACAATTAATCATACATTTTTTGGTTATCATAATTTCTTACGGCAACACGGAAGACAGAGATGAGTTTGTGCAAGCAGAATGCACACGACCATCTTATTTCGGCACTATTTCTTTAATGAATGACTTAAGTCAACTGGTAGTTGGTGTAGATGCTGCTTGTACACCACAGTCTTTCGTGTTGCAGGGTGAAGTGGTGACGTGTGAGATTGATGGAAATGGTGCACCATCATCTATAACGTCGTTTGCAACCCGAGTCTCCGGTGCGAGTGTTGCGCTTGGTCAGATGATCAGTCTACTTATGTTGATCCTTGTAGTTTGGCTTATGCTTTTAAGCACTGCCGCTATCATCATTTATTCAACTGCCATATTAGTAAAATCTATTAGAAATAAAAGTAAGCAGTTATAGAGTGTCTAATTATTCAAGAGGTGTTTGCTTCTGATAATGTTCTAGTCGTGTGGATTTCTGTATAGGTATATGTTTTGTCGACAGACCTTGGTGACTTCTGGTCTCTGTGACTTTTTTTTGCTGTGATCCTTATTCGCACATATCTGTTTCATATTGGGTCCCTAATGTGTTTGGGTATCTCTGTGGTGACATTGTTTTATTTTCGGCTATTTTGTTTATGTGTACCATATATGTGTATACCTAGAACAACTCGGCAGGAAATCAATCACATAATATTGATTCATATCATAGTTTGAATCATAGATAAATATATCCACCAACTTGTGTGAGACCACTGAGTTCAGTCCACTAGTCTGTGTTTAGCATGAAACAGCGTACTTTATAGGCTATCAGCCTACAAATGGCGAAGTGTGGAATCGAATTTATGCAGGAAATGCTACAGTTCACTGCGCAAAGAGAACGAGAATCTGGTGATTATTCGGAAGTCGCGATTATTTGTCTGGATAGAATAGCTTGAAACAGCGTTTTGTAGCCTTAGAGTTTCGAGGTTTTCGCTACGTTCAATTACTCACTGCGCCTTATTTTGGAATTCCAATAATTCGCGCAGCTCCGGCGCAGTATGGAGCTGATTTGAAGCGTTCGCCGGTAAGTGCATGTTTTTCTATTCCTTATTTTTCGTTATATTTCGTTTCATTTTGAATATTATAAGACACTGTTATGAATTCCGTAAGTGAGTTTCTCTTAACCTCGACGTTGGTCACTAATTCACTATTTTCTTGAGGAGCAAACACCAGGTTGTTTATACAGCGTTTATCCATTCACAACAGCTGACACTTCGGCGGTTTCGACACCTTCAGACTGGAAGAGACAAATTAGTACGCAGTCCACTTTAGCACCAAAAACTACATAAATGCATAAAAATTCATCCGCATGGTAACACTTTGACTCTTCCAGACTCTGAAGAAGGCGATAGCGCCGAAGTGTCAACTGTTGTGAATGAACAAACGGCTCATGTTTGCCCATCAAGAAAGCAGTGAATTATTGCCATGAATGTCATATAACATTATGATCAAATAAAAATTGGAACAAGTACCGTTACTATAATCGTTCTGGATTTATTCTTCCGCTCACTAAATCTTAATAGGTCTGAGTTCGCGTGAAATATATAATTCTGGTTTAAAATTTCGATGTGGGTTGAAACTGTTTGTCCATGTCCTCTTCTCGTTTAGTGGGAAGGTTAGAACAATGATGGGGTAGCGGAATAATTAAGAGTGAACTTAGTTGGTAGCATTTATGGTTTTCTTTTTGACATTCATGTTTCAGGTTCAAGGTGAAATCGCCATTGCTGAGCCACTACGTGCTTGCTCTGCTCTCACAAACAGTGCTCATGTTCGTGGTCGCATTGTCATAGTCGAGCGGTCAGACTGTATGTTTCAAGAAAAGAGCCGTCATGCTCAACAAGCAGGAGCTATTGCTGTGATTGTTGTTGGTAGGTGGTCAATTACTGCGAACATTTCCCAGGCTCGACTTTATATTAACCTCCGCATTGGAATATGAATGCGTCGTTTTCTTGTTCAACAATAGTGAGGTTTTATACAGCATACATTTACTTCCATAGAAAATCACACAATACAATACAACAGTAACTGATGTTTCGGCAGTATCGCCTTCTTCATCATACCTTTCCAGGCTCTGAAGAAGGCGATATTACTGAAACGTCAGCTACTGTTGTATTGTATTGTGTGCTTTTCTGTGGAAGTAAATGTATCCTGCATAACAATCTGGCGATTGCTGAACAGGAAAACGACAGCGAACATTGTTCTCCTTAAATTAAAAATTTAAGTGAAATATATTGTAATGTATTGTTCCATGCATTGATCTCGTTATGTCACCCGTCCGTTTACTATAGGACTTCTTTTACACCAATATTCTCACTTCTTGAAATAAATTGTTAACAAGGAAGAGGTCATTCGGTTATATCAACCAGTCTTTGCCCATTTTAGGATGGTTTTTCGATTATTTCTCCACACCAAGATGATAGTAGTTCAGACTGAGACAGTGACAGAAGAAAATTATCCAATGTATTCCTGCGTTATGTCGCATCTTTTGTAAAGAACTATTAGCAGCTTTAGCGATATTAGTTCGCTAAGAAAATAATGACCGATTTTGATCTGCCCAATTTGAAACGCTTTAACTCACCTGAACCACAAATTTATTGTTTGAAACCAGATCGGATAGCTTTTCGTCAACAAAATGTAAGTTGCTTTGTTTGGATAACGTAAAATTCTCATTTTCTGTAAGCGAAAATTTCTTCAAGGACAGTTCTTGTAGCGATTTATTTTTCGAACGTTCTCCCAGGTAGTTACCAAAACGTTAATAAAAGTAATTGGTTATTTCTTAATAGAAGGTCCGATGAATATGGTCGGTGAGGCAGTAGTTCCTAGCCAACTTATTTACTGTTTTATTTTTAAATAACTTTTCTAGCAAAAGAATAATTTTTAAGCAGTTATTTACAAGCTTAGAGCAATGGTGCAAAGCATCTTCTTTTTATCTATCATGTTCAGAACTTATCAACTGCTCCAATTATGGGGAAGTTGTTGGCCGTTGTCAGAGAACTTGTATGGTCCGCTAAATATTGAAGTATCACCAATTTACAGATCATATTGTTGGAAGTTCTGCTGCGGGGCAACCATCCTTTGCAATGGCAGAGGACAAGAATTCACCCGACGATATCGTCATTGCATCAGTGTTCGTTTACCACAACGAGGGGCAAAAACTGTTGCAAGCAGCTTCAAGCGGGAATTTGCCCGTGGTTAGACTTAGCGTTGACGCCATCTCTTCGAGTGTGTTTTTCTTTTTAAAATTTAACTTGACTTGTTCTTTTTAATTCGAAATTCCGATCCAAAATTATGGTGCATCATGGTGTTGTTTTATCGCGGTTTGTTGGAGACAGATGATACTGGTGCACTTGTTTTCCACATGAACTCAGAAAAGTCTTTGAATTTAGGCGAACGCAGCAATGAGAAAAATTCTAAGAAATTTTTCTGTTTTAATTGGTCAACTTTCTTTTCATTGCGCTAAGAATGGCCTTTTTTTACAGCACAGGTTACTGTGTAGAAAAGTTCACCAAACGATTGACATTCTGTGATGCTTTCAGATTTTTTAGTGGAGCAGTTTTTGATATCAGGGAAATCCTCACTGCCACCCAATAATCCGGTAATTCTTATTATTGCAGTTGTTTTTCCAAAGCTATTTAAAGATGGAGCCAATTCTTTTTATATTCGGGAATTTATCTGATAAAAATTCCACTTGTAACCTTATGGGTTTTCACTTCATTATTCAGATTATGTATGTTTCTATTTTTCACATCGAAAATTTAATTCCATTTACTGGATAATTTTTAGAAATCTGTTCGATTTTGAAAGTAACAGGTCTTCATACGATTCTGGTCTTTTCAGATGTGCTCTTTTTCTGACGGTGAATTCATCCAGATTGACCGCGATTTGCCAAGCGTTACGTTCAACTTTCGCTTGGAATCTGTCAATCAGTCTAGTGAACCATCTGAGCATCAAAACGTAAACACTGTTTTCAATTGCCTTGACAGGTTTGATTCTTGAATATTGTCAAAATTAAGATTGTTGAACGACATGTGACATATCTCCAAGATGGAATTGGCTTCGATCATGTTTCCCAACGAATAGCATTCTTCAATTTGATGCGAACTGCGGCTTATGGAGCTCTTGGTTTAACTGTGCAGGTAGTTTTCAATCGTGAAACATCTAACATTGAACAAGTGTGCGATTTTCTTTTAGCACTATTGGTATGTAAAATTACGAGCCTTCTGTCACTTTTGGCAAAATAGGCGTTTTGATTGCAAATTGAGTCAAAAATTCACAATGAGAAGCAAATGAATTAAAAACGATCATGCAATTTGTGGCGATGTTGAATAGTAAGCGACCGCTCTTGATAGTTCAACATTTCTGAACATAGCTAGAACTGAGCTCTCCAATCGCAAAACCAACAGCGAGATTGGCATTGGGCTTCTTCATCTTATTCCGATTTATAAGAAACTCATGAAGCTATGGTGAAAATATTGGTAACGCTAACTTTTTGGAAGCTGATGTATGCATGAATTAGAACACAACATTTACGAGAATTAAAGTGTTTTTTTTACTAATGTTGTGCAGGATTGCTTTATTTGTCATATTAGTTGCATAATCTGTTGAAAACCTAGAAGATGCAGAACTATTGACACACTCTGTTCTTGGCGTTTTTGATAGCAACGCATATACGGCGTTGCTTACTTTTAGCGAACTTATAGAGCGGTGCTTTACGCACCGTTTCACCCAATAACTCTAGATAGAACCACAATATTGCTAAGATATTTGCAGAATTCTGCACCGCAGGTGTTTCCGGTGCGGAACGAACACGCTATTACCCTTTCCGGGGACTAACGCGTTCACCACCACACCATGCAAGTTTTTCTTATCGTCTTTCTCTCAGCTAGTTTTCTATCTACCAGTACCATCAGCAATCACCCTTCAACGGGATTGATCTGGGGAGCATAAATCGGCATTGATCCCAGTTAAGCTAAAGGTATAGTCGAAATCACAATGTTAACTCTTTATTTACTGCCTACTACAATTTGTTACTGCAGGATACTATTAAGGTACAACCACAGTGATGCTGAGATATTTTCAAAGTTCCTGACCACTAGGTGAAGTGTCGGTTTGAGCCCCCAGATCAATCTCGTTGACGAGTGATTGCTTATGGCACTGCTAGATAGAAAAACTAGCTGACAGAAAGACAAAGCCAAAGACCTGCATGGTGTGTTAGTGAACGCGTTAACTGCAGAGAGGGTAATAGCGTGTTCAATCCTCACCGCAGACATCTGTGGCTCAGAGTTTTACAAATGTCTCAGCCTCATTATGGCACTGGTATATCTCACGTTTCCTGGCGTAAAAATTGTAGTAGGCAGTGAATAAAATGTTGTCATTAATAACTATAGTGTTTGTTTTACACAGATCTCTGCTTATGTTTTGAGTAGGGCTAATAACACGTACTACGTTCTCCTTATTTGGCTTTATCACCGCGAGGTGACACCAACCGATGCTTGATTCTTGTGGTATACAGGAGGCCGTTTTCTAACAGTGACCCATTGACTTCAATTTTGACGACCATGTGGGCAAGTTATGCATGCTTCCTTAATGTGTATAATTGCAAGAGCTAAAAACTGGAGTTTAAGTGACTACATGGTAGAACGTCTAATTCGTTTTTTCTTTGATACCTCATTCTTTCCTTTACGAAAGTCTCGGCTGTCTATTTTTTCTTTAATTTTAAAAGTCTTTAGAATATGATGGTGTTAGAGCACTAGTTGTCCATTCAAAAACATCTTCCTTGATCCTTGGGTCCATATATACCCTTCATTGGTGTATCAGCAGCTCTGTCAGAAAAAGTACCAAGGATTACGTTGAATTTTTATCAAAAAAAACTGTCCTGATATTGCTGCGTATTGTCGTCCATGTGTTTAACAAAAGAATCTAAGAATGAGTATGATGAAGAGTTATAGTGAGTAAGGTAGTAAGGGTTTTTGTTTAATCTTTTATTTAAATACGACTTATACGTGGAATTTACCACAATTCCCTGTTAGGATGTGATGTGAACATGAGCTTTCACTTTTCTTTAAGTTTAAGTTACTAAGAGTCAAAGCGTTATTTGGGCATCGCTCTATTAAACCGATATTGTCTTTCTTATGAGGCTCACGCTACATTCTTTCCCAGCAGAAGCTTCGTATCCTGTTTTCGTTCAATTTGTGATTTGTTCAAGAATGATCAATATGAAAACAGTAGCAAACATCTGTTTTTTGCTATAAATTTGTTGCATATGTCACACTTGAAATTTGGAGTTATCGTTTTTGGTTTAGTATGTCAATGAGATACATAGACTTTGTGCATTTAGGACGAATATCTGAAGAGTGTGGAGGCTGCTTTGCGTAGTGCCTATTTGGTCCCATTGTTGCCTGTGGTATACGAACGATTAGCTGGTGACATCACTCAGGTCTGAACTTCCTAGTAGTAAAAAGTCGTCTTTCTGCCTAAAAATACGATTATAATCTTGGGAGTTTTCAGTTGTAGACATCGCATCTTTAGCATTTATATCGACCCTAGTTTTCGCATGGATAATTCATCTAACAATTATGTAGGTAACAATAAAACCGCCATTCGCAGATCATTGGTGACAACTGTAGCAATGCTTTTGCTAAATTTGGTTAACGAGGAAGAGAAACGACTAAAAGCCATTTAACAAACACGTGTACTCAGCTGCTGCGATCGTAGGTTCCCATAACTGTATTGGTCACTCATGAGGGTGCTGTGTTTCCTTTAGAAGACTTAAATATCTGGTTCTTACGAACGGTTTACCGCCTCGTGGCTGTGAAGTGTTCCTGGGTGTCGGGCTGCGATTTACACCAGGGGGATTCATCCACCCAGCAGGGCCTCCCAAACTGAGAAAGAGTTCGGCGTTTCCAACAGCATGCTCAGTTAAGAGTAAACCAATACCAGATTCCACCACCATCATGGTATCAAAGTCGCATAGTGGAAAGCTCTACATGACCCACAAAAGCGGCGGCTGCCTGTGGTGGTGACGACCTCTGGCAGGGAAATTTTGGTGTGGCTGACCTCGGGACTCCAGAGAACCAAATTGACTAAACCAGCAAAACTCCGAAAAAATGGAGATTATGCTGGGGTCCGAGCAACCAGTGAGGACGGGCCGTCTAAGTATCCAAGTAAGTAAGTAGATATTTGGTTGCTATTAGATATTGCTGATGGCAGAGGATCGATAGAACTAGCTGACAGAAAGGCGAAACGAAGGACTCGCATGATGTGGTGGTGAACGCGTTACTCTCCGGAAAGTACAATAGCGCGGTCGTTCCCCACCGCAGACACCTGCGGTCCAGAGTTTTGCAAATATTTCAGCAACATTGAAGTTATATTTCGCAATATATACCCAGCCATTAAGAGTAGGCAGTAAATAAGAAGTTAAAATTATGATATTTGGTTATTTGGAAGCTGAATTTCAAGCAGGTTCGAAGTGAAATGGATGCTGTTATGTAGGTATTAGGTTGTTCAGAAATAAATGAGCGCATAAAAATATTTATTGTCTTGATGTGTCTTTTTTACCAATAAAGTATTCTTTGTACCCTGCAGCATTATATATCATAAGAAGCTGATTTTACCCTCTTTCCAACTTGTCTTTGTATTTTTCAAAAGTAAAATTTTTTATTGACTTTGAGCTTTGCAATTTTAAATGTCAAAAACGAATTTTAGTCAGATTTTCTTTTTGGGTTCAAACATGATCGTTGTGCAGCAGAGTGGGATCGAAAAATCAACGAAGTTTGGTGTGAAGGTAGTTTTGGCGAATAACAATGCGAACGTGGTTCCGGAAATTCCGATCTGGTGATTACGACTTCGATTAAAAGCAAACCCGCGGATGTCCCAATGAACGTGACGACGACGAATTGAAGGCACTAGTGGAAGCAAACATGCGAATTACTGTTCGAGCGCTTGCAGAACAGCTTGGCATAAGTATGAAAACAATTTCCACTCACTTGAATCGCTTAGAAATGGCAAAAAAACTCTATTGTCCCGACGAATTAAACGATAATAAAAAACGCTCTTTTGAAGTGTCTTATGCTCCTATTTTGCACAACGAAAACGGCCCAATTCATGGCCGAATTGTGACGTGCGACGAGAAGTAGATTTTTACGACAACCGCCGACGTTAAGCCCAATGGGTGGATTGCGATCAGGCTCCACGACACTTCCCACAGCCGAAATTTGCACCAAAAAGGTTATGGTGACTGTTTGGTGGTCGGCAGCCATGTTGATTCATCGCAGCTTTTTGAATCCAGCGAAGCGATTACGGCAGAGAAATATTGCAAACAAATCGACGAAATGCACGGCAAACTCCAACAACAACAAATGACATTAGTCAACAGAAAAGGGCCAATTGTTCTCCACAACAATACGCGGCCACTCGTTGGTGAACCAGCGCTGCAGATGTTGAACGAGTTGGGCTAAGAAACTTTGCCTCATCCTCCATATTCGCCAGACCGCTCGCCTACCGACTATCACTTTTTCACGCACCTTGACGACTTCCTACGCGAGAAACACTTCAACAACCACAATGAAGCAAAAGATGTCTCCAAAGAATTCATCGCTTCCAGGACTCCAGAGTTTTATGCAAGTGAAAAAGGCAAACTTGTTTCTCATTGGAAAAAATGTGTAGATTCGGGTGGTTTTGTTTTAATTAATAAGTTTTGTTCAGTTTATGACATTTTAGATAACATAGTTAAAAGCGCTCATTTATTTCTGAACATCGGCGATGGTCTTTTCTATGTTTATCAAGTCTTAACTGCTGTTATAACAGTGAATAGATTCCTCATTCTAAGTGTTCTATTGTGAAGAGACGGAACGATGTGCTAAAGCAAAGTTTCTTCTTAGGTTCGATGTCTTCCACGTGCTGAGAAAATTCAGTGCGTTCGAATATTGACGTGATATGTAAATTGATTTGTATTAGTTGTGTACCTCAATCCCGTTAATATTTCTGACATACCATTCATATTCGGGTTCTTTTCTGAAATCGCTAAGTAATTGTTCTACGAAGATACTGAATAGTATGTGCGTTTGCTTTCTGAGTGTGAATTCTTTTAGTTTTATGATAGGGTTTACTGTAGACGGTGTCTCAGATTATCACGATAACTGTATGGTTGATGATTTTTCTCGCGTATATGACAAGCCTCATAGCTTACCTGTAAACGTTTATGTTTCCCACGCCATATCAAGTTAAACTTTACTCGTTACTTTAGGGCGTGATACAAGTATGAGCAGTTCTAGCATGTACTGTTGTTTTGAATGCCAAACGAATGAATATTTGCGGTTATTTAGGCTTAGAGTCTTTAGTGTATTCCAACATTCTCGTCGATGTTTTGTTGTGATTAAGTGAAATTGAATAAATGGCAAGATGTAACCAACCTTTCGATGGAAATGTAGTTTTCTCCTGAAACTTGCTATGATTATGATTGATGAAAATGAGATACTAGTAGTGTCACACGATCATCTCGTGTGCTATGGGTACCTACAAAGATTAATGAATAGTTTAGGCCTATTGACGAGGAAAGGTAGAAATATGCCACGATATTATAGTATTACTTTGGATGAATGCCTTTACCTTTTCGGAGATGGCGTACTATCGAGCACAGTCAATGAGAGCTTTGCCTTGCTTTTCTATTTATTAGCAACCGCCGATAAACAGGATTGTTCTTGGGAATACAAATCGGCGATGGGCCCACCTATGGTTGCACATATCTTATCAGTTCTACGGAATCAGTACTGTTTATGTGGTGGAACTTTGCTTTCATATCTGATAGTTTTATCAACTGTAGGCGTTAATATGGATGCAGGAATAGAGTGACAAATGCTGCCACTGACAGTACAAAAATGCGTTAAAGAAAACCAACCTCGGAGCCAGTATACGGTAATTGCCATTCCAGATATTCGATCGTTGTCAAAAACACTAAGGAGGAATGATATAGAAGTTACGGCGTGCCCATAATCGGCATGCATCGAGACTATTGTAATATTGATAATAAAGAAACTTTATAGCAAGAGATTCACAGCGATATGTGGAAAAACTGCACTATTGGATCCGACTAGGTCTACCTTTCCAACGAAGCGTATGCGTCACACGTTGCTTGTCGGAGGGCGAGGGGTAAAGGGATTTACGTAGAATAAGTGGTGAGGGGATAGTTTTAATTAAGTAGTGGTATTGTTGTAGAATTTTTACGTGGCCAATGGCTCATGTGTCTCCTTGCCGGCTATCCTTGGCGTGGGTGTGTTGGTGCGGCTGGCGCTCGTGACTGACTACCTGTGTCGTCCTCCGCTACGTGGTCGTTCCGTTGTGTGCTCGCTTACAAGCTGGTGCACACCAACTTTTTGCCTCATTCTGGATGTGCATCTGAGAATATTGCAGCATTGAACTGGTGGATTTCTACACTCAATCGTTTCGCCTCCACCATCAGGTAACCAGCGTGACCTACAGCGTAAATAGGGCGTTTACTTTTCGTATAAAAATGTCTGAAGTACTAAGGATAGGGTTTACTCTCTGGTTTAAAAATTATTGTCTGTAACCACAAAACGAACGGCAGTCGATCACCTTCACTAAGAATGTGTTACGCTCTTGATACTCACTTACTTGAACTTGAACGGCCCGTCATCACTGGTTCCACGGGCCCCAGCATAATCACCATTTTTCGGGGATTTGCTGGTTAAGCCATTATGGTTCCCCGGAATCCCGAGGGCAGCCTGGCCAAAGCCTGCCCCAGGTCGTCACCATGGTAGGCATTAGCGGCCCTTGTGGATCAGAGGGAGATTTACTACCATGCGACTTTGATACCAAGACGGTGGTGGGTCCTAGTATTGGTTACTCTTAGCTAGGCTTCCTGATGGAAACACCCGACTCCTTCTCACCAGGGTGGTGGAATCCTCTCGCTGTACATCGCAGCCAGTCCGACACCCAGGAACACCTCCCATCCACGATGGGGTGGTAAACCATTAGGAGGGTTGCGCACTTCTATGTGCATACTAGAAATGTTTTCTTCGAAATTACGTGCTTTTAGACAGTATTCTGCGGCAAAGCTTGCTCATGTAAACGTTCATAGGAACCGGAAGCAGTAGGTTTGTCGAGATAAAGAGCCGAAGAAGTGCTCTGAGACAATTTATGAACACGTAAAAGAAAGGAAAGCAAACGCACCAACAAACAAAATTGTTGCTTTATTTCGAAACCGACTTTCCTTGAAGATCAGTGTGACTAATCAATATGTCTTCTTTCTTTGATGCGCTGACATGGGGTTGATAATTATATTTGTTTTCCGCTAACGTTTCGACGTCTTCGTCTTCCTCAGAGCCGATGAGATAATAATAAAAAATATTAATTAATAATTAATAATAATTGATAATAATAATAATAATAATAATAACAATAATGAAATAAAATAATAATGAATAT